TACCCAATAACAGAATCGGCTACAGCTACCATTTAAACGTCATAGACTGTACATTCAATTGTAAGATAACAAATCTATGAGATCTAAAACTATATAGAACTGTATACTATATTTGGAGGATCGATACAGGTCTTCAGAATTATATTTAGACAAAGGCAGACCCTTATCCGCTGGCACTATGGCTGTGCTATAACGTCTTTCTATGTTAGTAAAAGATTTATTTCAATAGCGATCAAATTTCGTTGTTTATACCTGTGGCAATACCTATAAGCTTTCTTTATTTCGAATTTAATCCGTCTAAAGCACAACTTTGAATTTGTAGACCTGCTGATCTGCTGCCCTATATATTTTATTCGGATGATATACACAAAAAAAATCGGTTCGTATGAAAACGTAGTGAAGACTGACCAGAATATTTCACAGCTCGAACCCTTATATAGATATTCTTTGTATGTATTACTTTACTACTATTACTTACTATTTACTCTATGGCTATATAGCTATATCCGTCAAGTTGTTCTGAATGTGGAAGCGTTTTATATTTTTTCTATAACAGATCCGAGTGGCCTTAATCGGAACAGATTAATTCTTGTATAGATTGGAGTGTTTATTGATCAATTAAATATTCTTAGAATCAATCATGCGGTCGTATAAAGAAACTTAATATTCAATTAACGGATTAACTTATCTCGCCGATGCGAGGGTCCTTCGCCGTGCCGTAGTGACGGACGAGCGAGGTCATTTACGCGTGATTCAATTATAATCACATTTGTTAGTATACATATGTAATTTTTTTTATATTGCAATAAATCTCATATGGACGTATGTGGTTAGGAGGCATTAGGAGTTGTCAAACAACTCTGACGCTGACTGTATGACATATAGTTTCGTATTGTGATGGTATTAGATATACGAAGAAATTTGGAAGATTTGTTTCTTTAGAAGGAAAATTGGAAATATGTAAATGTTATTAACTCAGGCTGTAAGAAAAATAATACAATTACAACATTATCTACTCCCGTTCAAAAATTTGTTCATTTTGGAAATTGTAAATCGTCAGTTAACTTTTTTGACATTAAATTCGACCCGTGTTTCGGTGTGATAAATTAATTCATCGCTGATAAAGCGATAAAGGCCCATATAGATTCTGATATCTTTAATTCAGAGATACCCACCCGAGAAATGCCCGAACGATTTGAATGGGACTCACTCACTACGACACTAAATATAACTGATAATACTTGCAAAAGCTCTTTACCACGGTAACGTCAGATAAAACTGTTTTAAAATGATGAAGAGATTTAATTGTTTTCATTTTATTTTATGTTATACATGAAATAAAATTACTTTTGGGACTGCTGCTGATTCGTGTTGATTAACGTTAGTATTTGTTGTCAATTGTCATGTCTTGAGCAATTAACCAATTTGTTGGATTTTCCTCGCTTAGTCGCATAAATATTTCGTTTCGTTATATTCGAAATCCTAGTTCTTTTGGATTGCAATTTCGTGATTATTTAATGCCATTTATGAACAATTTATAAAAAAACATGAAGGCAATAACTATTTGTAAGTCCTTACATTCAGTTCTTAACTTATAATTTTACGTAGCCAAGACAGAATAAAGTCTAAACACTAAAATGTTTTTTTTTGGTGTTAAAACATTTTAAATAGTAAGCTAATAAACATCGAAATGCAGCCACTAATACACGTAAAGGCATAATAAAAGTGCAGACGGCTTAGTTAAGGGTCGCGGTAGTTAGCAACGTTTGCCCACGTAGGCACATTATTGCCCACTAATGATAATAATTTTCACGGTCGAGCGCAGTCGGCGGTTGGACCTTATTATAATAAATTAACGGCGGCGGAACCCCAATGCGCCTTGTTCGTAATTACACTTTATGTTGCAAACAGCTAAGGGGACGTTAAAAAAAATCACCAGTTCGCTTAGTCCGAGCGATTTGCAACCAAGGTTGTTCACGAGGAAAAGGCTGAGCGTTTTGGTATTGATTCAAATGTAAATTACTTTATACGTAATATAAGGCTTTTGTTTATTGATGGAAATGGAACTCTTTTTACGGATTCGATCCATCCTTACTAATATTATAAAGGCGAAAGTTTGTATGTATGGATGGATTTTTGTTACACTTTCACGCAAATACTACTGAATGATACACTTTAAGTGCTGAATTATCACGTTCTCCGCGGTGAAGGAAAACATCGTGAGGAAACCTGCATATTTTCGAAATAATAACAAAAAATGTATTTCGAAAATATGTGAAGTCCGCCAATCCGCAATGGGGCCGCGTGGTGGACTATGCCCTGATACCCTCTGTATAGAGGAGGCCTTTGCCCAGCAGTGGGACATGTATAGGCTGTTACTTTACTACTGAATGGATTTTAATGAAACTGTAAAATAATATAGCTGATACATCAGAATAAGACATAGGTTATAATTTACATACATATTTTATGACTATCTGTCTTTCTGTCCGAATTTTACGCTTTCGCCTTTCTATTCTACGCAGACGTAGTCGCGGGCAGCAGCTAGTTTAATATAAACTTAAATGACTGACACATAATGCTTTGCTGCAGCGTCCAGAGTCATGGATGCAGAAACTTATACTTAATTTAAACACAATTAAATTGTTTAATTTTTGCTTGTTCGCTTAAATACTACAAATTATTTTAGTTTCGATGTTTTACCTTGTAATCAGGAAAATTGGGACCATTAAGCTTTATTGTTTATTGGTTTTTACTCAAACATATCTCGTTATTAATGATGTTGAGATGATTATGATATGATGAGTTGATTATATAATGCTGTACAATAGAGGTTTTTCTAAAGCGGTTTTCACTGTTGCACGAACGGGCAGGTCCGTCCCGGTGAAGTGAAAGTGTTACACTTCTGGATTTCGCCTGGTGAGTGAGGTAAACGGGGCCCACTTTCTTAACAGGTGGCAACGCGTCTGCAACCCTACGACTGTTGCAAATGTCCATTGGCGTCGGTTATCACTTAACATCTGGTGAACCGCCAGCTCGCATGCCGCCTTTAAACATAAATAAAAGCAACGATGAAGGAAAATAGAAGGTGTACATTAATAGTTACATCGGTTACCAAATTGAATAATTTAGTACAGGAGCTAATAGATTAAAGGCGTGAGCGTGTTGCATCCCGGTTCTATAAGGACATATTCCGAGTAAATATCACATCAACAGAACCGCCCTTTATACAATAACATCATCGACGTCTGGAGAGATTTTAAATTCTCGTCTCGGAAACGGTTAAATATTTCTCGGCCTCATTTAATCTGCCACGTAGGTCATTGTTTTTTCGTTATCAGTGAAAGCTGTTGAGATGCGGTAACACGCTTTCGCAACATAAATTTATGCATGATCCCCTCATTAAATCCGTATAAAGTGAACAAAGTACGTCAGCGCGACTCGACGTGGGTGTGTGGCCGACCGCAAACGCTCCTACACTCCACTGCCCTAATACCCTACACATTATGTTTATAATCCTCTCGCCGTTATTTCAGGACCTTTGGCCAAGAAGCTTACCTTGGTCCATGATATTGTGTTTTGTACAAACATTTACAAAGATACGGACAGAATACATACCGAACTAAAATTATAAATACGAAATGAAATCGCGTTTTACTAATTTGTTTCAATGAAAGGCGCGGCTAAAACCTATTATGATAATAATTAACAAGCGTTAAATTATGTTTGCAGACGTATTTTAACCGACTTCAAAAACGGAGGAGGTTCTTAATTCGACTGTATTTTTTTCTCAGAACTTTCGAGTGAGTAAACCGATTTTGATGATTCCTTTTTATTTATAAGCTGGTGCATGTGGTCCAATATTAATTTCATTGGTATTGGACATTGCCTACGGAGATACTTCAGGGAACTCCTGAAAATCAATTATAAAATGAATAAAGAGTTGTAATATTTGAATTCGGTTTTGTTTTGCGGAGGTTGCTAAAAATGGACTTGTACACATAATTCTCTTTAAAATAGGCTAGTGAAGTATCGGTAAACGAACGCATGACGAATTTTAAGTAAAAATTACAGTAGCGTTAAACCAAAACGCACATGGGTATACCGTCCATAATTTATCGTCATTTTGAACCCTATGGTACAGTCTTGGATGTGTTTATTAATTTTAGTAATGCGAGTGCAAGAGGAAGTGAGTGCGGCTGCTGACCGCAGGAAGCCTTACTGCACCTGGGCTTCGCAGGTTCGGGGCCTGACTCGGGAGATTTGTGGCTGCTTTTGATACAGCTTTGAGGGCGCAGCAACTATATTGCGGCCATCTTACGGCTTTACAGCTTAACGAAAAAGGATAGACTCAAATTCGAGTATTTGTTCAAATTCTTAATGCATTAATACGGTTCATATATACACTGTGGCAAAGGATGTTTTTTATAAATAATAACCACGAACATTCTGCTTTAATTTACTACATAGATATTAATTTGTGGAATGCCCCGCTAATTAGCTGTTACTCCATATAATTGCATGTATGAAATCTTCCTTAAAAATTAAACACATGTTTAATTCATAGGTTGGTTAAGTTTGCTACTTATTCGAATGTCGTTAAAATCATATACTATGTAAATTATTCGTTTTGTTATGAATTTGTTAGACTTTCGAGACAAATTGGAGATAAAATTGCGTTTTTGCTAAGTCATCGTTCATGTCTAAAGATAAAGAAAGTGTCTGTGTACAGAGTACGTAGAGTACTGCAAATGGAACTTCATATAACAATTGATTAAATTACATTTCTAAATATTTCTTAGCATTCAAATACCTTATACGAAATATTACTCTCTTGCGTGCTAATAAGTTTTACTTCAAAAATTCTATCGAGGATTTAATAATTTCTTAAGGGATAGTACATGAAACATTAACGATCCGTTAGCCACATTTACAAACATAGATAATTTAGGAAATAGCCCTGAACTTGCTGATTAATTCAAACATTTTATTTCTTGCAGGAGTGAAGGATGACTCGGATGATGTGTCGAGTAAGAGTTGCGGCGGCGACACGTCGGGGCTCGCTAAGAAGCAGAGGAAAGCGCGTACTGCTTTCACCGACCACCAGCTGCAGACCCTGGAGAAATCCTTCGAGAGGCAGAAGTATCTCAGCGTGCAAGACAGAATGGAGCTCGCGGCGAAGCTCGGCCTCACGGATACGCAAGTCAAAACTTGGTATCAGAACAGGCGGTAAGTTGTGATACTGGATGCTTGATGCTGTTGAACAGTCAATTAAAGAGCCGTGATAGCTCAGTGTCAGCGAGTATGCCTTTATTCATTCGAATAAACTTTGTTCAAATCCCGGTCCTATGAAATTGTTTATTTTGATTGGTGACTTATCACGCGCTGAGTGTTAAGAAACCTATTTTTTCGAATATTCGCATATTTTCGAAATAACTAATAAGAAAGAAAATGTATTTTGAAAATGTGTGAAATCGGCCAATCCGTAGTCGGGTCGCGTATGCCCTTTGTACAAAGGAGGCCTTTGCCCAGCAGTGGGCAATAGTTAAGGAGAGAGGCAACGGTCTAGTTTCTGTGATGTTGGTACGTGCAGTCGAAGGTTATAAGGTCGGACCTCACTACGTTGATTTTTGCTACATTTCTTACGTAAAAAAACACATTTCAATTTATGTATCGACATAACATCTATGAAACGTCTATATTTTTTGGATGGTGGAAAATGTAAGAATATGCAATATAGAGGTTAAATTCTTCTCCAATGAACTCATTTTAATATTTGTCGTGATGATCCTATATAATATGTTTCATATTCTATTACACAAACTGCTGTGGTAGGTCCAAGCAAGCTTCTGATTTCCGATAACGAGCTGGCTTAAACCGGCGTAAACTAAAAGTATTTACAAATGTAAATACTTTTAGTTTACGCCGGTTTGTTATGTTTCCAAGCTTTCCAGGAGGAATGTAGAAATCTACATTCCTCCTGGAAAGCTTGGAAACATAAGTGAAATATATCTACATTCATGGGCGCTAGTTACCACTTAACATCGCTGCATAGCCTCCTCGTTTGCCTCCTTTTGTGTATCTAAGCAGTTATATGTTAATGACGACAAAAGTAAAAGACACCGATAGAATTACAAAAAAATGGAAAGATGATCAGTAACTAATAACGAGATACAAATATTTACATTAAACAAAATCCACATTGCATTATTTTATATTTTCAAATCGTTACCAGCTAGTTAAACTGCGAAGAGGCTCCATGTTATACTACAGCCAAAAAATTAGCTCTTCGAATTTTTCAACATTAACTTTCAACAGAAAGCCGTAATTTGTGGGAACATATCGGCTTTTTAATGGAAAAATTGTTCTGCGGTGGGTAATTCCACCTCGCACAGTAATGGAATTGTAAAAGTCGATACGTGTCTAAGAAAGCTCCAATGTAGAAAGCAATTATAGAGACCTTTACAAACGCGACTCAACGTATTAACGTCTGAATGGAATTGTTATGAATACACTTAAAATAAAAACTATTCAATTCAAACGAGTTTTTCGTGACTTATTTTGAATAATTTCGACGATATTGTGTTTCGAACAGTTCCATTTTTTTTTTACTAAAAAACGGAATAAAACTAAAAAAATATGACAATTTGTTTTTTATTTTACTTTTCACTCAAGGCTTGGGTAATAAGATATCTCCAATATTTGTTCTTTGCCCATTTTATGTTGCCTCAACGGCATTTGAATGCACGTTAAATTATAGTATAACCAGATAAAACTGATGTTTCACGCATTACAGCACTCTGGTTGCGTTATACAAATCTCTTATTTCATTAGCCTGTGGGTATTTCTTCACATCCGCCTCGGTGCCACGCCTCTATGTTGGATTTTTTGGTTGTAACATGCATTATGCATTTTTACTTACCTTTGTAATATTTATTCGTTAAATTGAGGTACCTTTGCATTTAAAAAAATATATTTTAACAAGGATTTTGCTGCATAATAATGCTTTGGAATGTGGTAATAACAAGGAATAACGTATTCCGTGATAAAGTAACGCACTAGGGGTCTATTCACGCGTTTACTTTTACTGTTATATATATTATATATTATATATTATATTTTATTACAGTAGAAATCGACAAAAAATGTACTTTTAGTTTATTTATACTAAGGTCTACCAATCCTTAATCACACACAAATTAATAATAAGCTACTACGTAGTATGTTTGTGTTATAGTTCAGAAAACGCCGAAAGCTTATGAATTGTTACCAGCGTCAAGTTTATCGTGAGATCGTCGGCTTGGTACATAAAGTGGTGCTGAGTCAGTCGGACTGTCGCGACGTTACTGGTTATCACTTGTTACGTTACATGCTAGGTATCTTTTTTTCAACTTGACGGCAACTTTACCATTTTTATTATTAATACAACATTTGGTTTACTTATTAGATACCAAGTCTGTACCAAGGTTATCACTACATAGTATAAAACAAAGTCGTCCCGCTGTCTGTCCCTATGTATGCTTAGATCTTTAAAACTTCGCAACGGATCTTGATGCGGTTTTTTAACTAGATAGAGTGATTCAAGAGGAAGGTTTTGTACAATATTGCACCCGAAGCCGGGGCGGGTCGCTAGCTTAAAATTTAAAATTAGTGCTTTAACTGTAAATATTCAATTGTAAGTAAAAATAATTATAGGTCATAACTATAATTTCTTTTACTAAAATTATGTTACGAGTAAGTGATATAGTAACACATCGATACGAACTAACATCTCAATCAAAACTACTGCAAGTCCCTTATATGTGCATTAGCAATTTATTTCATTTACATCGTCTCCAAACACAAGGAAATATATTTATTATTTAATTAAATATGAAATATTTAAATTTCGAAACCGCCAACATCAAATATATTTAACGTAAAACATGGCAATTTAGGTCATATATTCGAGGAAATCACATCATTTTAAGCATTTCAAGTTTAGTTGATATTCGCCTAATTTCTTTTACACAGAAACTGCCACTTTAAAGAAACGCCCAGTCGCACCGACTGTACCTGGCGGTGATTTCAAAAACAAACGCTCGTAATTAGGCCTCTGCTTGCCGCCGACCGCGCCACCTTTAAACGTTAACAAAAAACCACGGTAGCCAAAAAAAGGCTGCCCATAGTAATTTCGTACCAATTCCACGCCTTTTTATTTCCTCATAATATTTTTAATCGATTCGTTTGATTATTTAAAGATTTACCGATGTTTACTTTAATGGGATCGCTCGTGTTCTCGCTACTCAACTGTTACTTCTGTTACTGGTAAATGAATTCATACAAGTATGTAGTGAATTTCTTATTGTATATCCTAACGGTGACCACCTTTCTTATTATATTTTACTGTTTTAACTAAGGTTTATAGACTAATAATTTCCTTTTTCACTACATGGCATTACTTCGTTATATTGATCAAGAATGTCACGCCACGGCTAACAGGTGATGCTGTGCTCTTGATTTCGGTTACTTGTATTTAATTTTTCTTCCACATAAACGAGACAGTTTTTTTCCTCACCGCACACGATGCTGAGCCATCCTGGCCCGACTGGATTTTTTTATTCACGGCGACTTTTTGTCGCGCTTTTTGTCGCTTTTCTATAATTTCGGCTAAACTAATGTTTGGTCTTCGATTTTTCGGTTCATGAAAGGGTGTGAAATCGGAGTTAATCGAACCGCGCAAGGCCTTTGTGCTGGATGCACTTTCTTTTGTTTTTATGCGACTTTAAAGCTGGGATGGAATTGAACGAAGTGTATTTACTCGGACGCGGTTTCTTTCGTAATCTTAGACAAAAAGCCTTTTACGTTTAATTGGACGAAGATAATTTGTAATAATTACGGTCACGGCATTTGCCTTTCAAGTTATTATAATAAATGAAAATAATTACCCACGTACGTAGCGTCTATTACCTACTCTCTTAATTAGTTATGTTCCTCTGTAAACAATTTAAATGTGAGCCGTTTTAGTGTTTATGAGCTCAAACAATGCAACATCAGTTCGAATTAATGAAACAAAGCAATGGTGGTTACTCACGGCATAAATACCCTTCCTTATAAATGCGTTCCTCTTATCTCTTTGAGTTAATTTTAACATCTGAAAGTTAGGTGCAATGGTGATACAACGCATTTGATTAATTAGAGCATATTGCAGAGAAGTAGGCAAAAATAATTTCTTGTCTGACTAAACATTATAAACATACATATGGAATAGTGGAATTGAATTAGTGTTTTTATTTCATTTGCCTGTCTGTGAATTAGTACACATAAAATTTAAACAAAAAGAAAAATGAAATCATGATATAAATGAAATAGGAATGATGAGAAATGAAATAATAAATAATAGCTAAGTTTAGAACATGCATACCCTTACAAATTCCGTTACGAGCATACTAAGTAAAAAGTTATATGGCTGAATTCGTCATTAGTACTTAGCGATCAGTGACCCTGGCAGTACAGTATGTTTAATTCGAAAATTGAATGAAATGGAAACAACGAACCCTCTTAAACTGAACCAACATGAGGCGTTAGTATAGCGAATCGTTTGTCTTGTGTGAACCAGCCATCGCCGGCATTCTGGGCCTGTCCGGGGTTGCAAGTCACGGCCGGCGCGGCGCCGCTCCCGCCCATTCATTACGTCGTCCGCCGACGCTAAACTCGATACTTTTTACGACTTATCTCCTGCTTAATTGTTTCCGAACGTATTAATTTTCGAGCGGTCCCCTGTAACTGCGCAGTGGAAAATTGAATGCGCTCTAAAATTGCCCTTTTTGTTCAGGTTGGTGGCTGTTAAAAAAATAAGCTTTCGCAATTTTCGTATTTTCTTGTTCATTAATGGCTTCATTGATAACGCATTTTTTTACTATAACTAGTTTGTGAACATCATGTTATATTGTATAAAAAAAACAACGGAAAAAGCTACGAACTGTTAAGCAGTAACTAGGAAAGCTCACCTTTTTTTTCTTTTTTTCACAAAAGTAACATTTTGGAACGATCTAAAACTACCTAATATAGTAATTAAATTGGCGATGAAATTGACAGGCACTGGAGAAATCATGAGATTAACACAGACCTAGTTGAGTTTGATCGTGCACCGCGCAGTTTGAGCGAGCCTCGGTTTCTAAACGCGTTTCGTTACTGTCCAGTCGTAAATTCGTAATAGGCCGGGGGCTGTCGGTTGAACGCCGTTTATC